AAGTTCCAACGCTGCGCTTGGGGGCTTGGGGCTTCCGGAACTGCAGTTCCGAGAGGCAAATGGGAGGGGCAGGGGTTGAGCAGCTCTGAGGTGGCCCCCCCCACCCTCCGCCCCCGCTCACCAGCACAGAAAGCCGCAGAACCTGCAGCAGGACCCCCAAGAGGCTGGGTCTCACCGGGGGGACGACCTCCATGTCTGGCCTCCCGCCCCCCCCCCACCCCGCTCCGGCCAGGATAGGCAGGGTGACGTCACAGATGGCACAGGGTGGGGACCAAGTTACCATGGGGACCCAGTTGCCACAGATACCCCCCCTTTCCCTGGCTCCTGTCCCCTCCTCTCAATCCCTGTGCAGCCATATCATGATGGGGGCTGTGGCCGGGACTGGGAGGAGATCTGACCTCCTGGAGCAAAGATTTCTTCAGGTTCAACTTCCCACAGAGAGACCCTGGACTCAGGTCAAGTGGCTGATTCCAGGGAGGTTCCTGTGAGATCCCAAGGGAGGAAGAAAGTATGTGTGACTTGGGAAACTGAGGCACAGCCTGGCTGCAGACAGAACACAGCTCCCTATCACCCCAGCAGGTTGGCGGAGCCAGGAGCCAGGAGCTTCTTCTGAGTCTCCCAAGTGGGTGCAGGAATCCAAGCACTTGGGCCATCTTCCACTGCTTTCCCAGGCGCATTAGCAGGGAACTGGATCGGAAGTGGAGCAGCTGGGACTCGAACCGACACCCACATGGGATGCTGGCTTCTCAGACAGCAGCGTCACCCACTGTGCCACAGCGCCAGCCCCAAGGACACACACACACACACACATTGCACTCATTCCTCAAACCCCAAATCCCACAGGGTGCCGTGAAGGGGGCCGTGTTATAGGACAGGAATCCTAAGCTTAGGGAACCCACAGCTTATTTAACGGGCAGTAAACAGGCCTGCCCTGGGCCCCAGAGGGAGACACCCGGTATTCCAAGGTAGTTCCTTGGAAAGGAAACCCAGAATACCGGACCGTGGGCTAGTGCCTTGCTCACAGGAGAGCTCTGTCCCAACAGAGTGAGCAGGAAATGGGGTGCAGTGGCCAGGGACCAGGGACCCTCCTCAGAGGGCATGGGTGAGGGTGCAGGAGGGGGCTGCCCACCCAGGTGGGGAGGTGTTTGCTGGTCGCTGGGCGTCCGGTGGTGGTAGCCAAGACAAGGCCTCGTGCTGTCCTCGCCTCTCCTCCCTCTCTGGTTTACTCCTCGCCATCACTCAGCATCCCTCTCCCCAGATTTCCAGTCACTGAGGCTAAGCTGATGGTCCCAGGAACTGGGTCCCCGGGCCCAGTCACCTGTTCTCCCCCAACTACCACCCATTCCCTCACCCCCACCCCCAGAGCCATCATCTTAAGGAAAATTCAGCAAGGGCTTTCTGTGGCTGTGGGGCAGCCCAGACCTCGGAAGAGACAGGACATCTGGGGCCCACAAAGCCTGGACCTGTGAAACCAACCAGGCCCTCTAAGGCAGCCCACCTGTCACCTTCCAGGAAGGCGCACCTGACTGCTGAGGCCGGCGCCCGGACCAAGGTGCAGTGCACGGAAGGAGTCATCGGAACATATGGAATTAAGAAATGGAGGCGTAATGGCTTACATGCTTCAGCCAGGGGCGGTCTGCCGTCTGTCGGAGACCTCCCTCCCACCTGCTTGTCTCTCCTGCGCCACGGGTACCAGGTTCAAAGCCACCTAGCCCGCGAGAACGCAGTTATCCTTGCTCGTCACCAGGGGGCGCTGCTTCCCCGTCCCTGCATGGCCCAGGGCGATCGGGCTAAAATATATATATATTTTATATATATATATATATATTTGAAAAGCAGGTGGGGGGGTCTTCTAGTCATTGGTTCACTACTCCATAGCTACAATGGCTGGGGCTGGGCCAGGCTGAAGCCAGGAGCCAGGAGCTTCTTCTGGGTCTCCCATGTGGGTGCAGGGGCCCATGCACTTGGGCCATCTTCTACTGCTTTCCCAGGCCATAGCAGAGAGCTGGATGGGAAATGGAGCAGCCAGTGTCCCAGGCAGCTGCTTAACCAACCCTCTGGGCCACAATGCCAGCCCCCAATTTCGTTTTCTGTAAACCTGGGGTCATCAGTGGCCCCCTCGGTATCCAGGGTAGGTGCTTAAGTCCCTCCTACAAGAGAGTGTGGAAGCTGCACGGCCCCTCTCCTGTGCATCCCAGTACCTAGGACAGTGCAAACGCTCGCGAGTTGCCACCGTACTGCATGGCCCAGGGGCGAGTCTGCACACGGGCAGGGCAGACACCTGGGCTCTGAATGCTGATCTAGGGAGGCCCAGCCGACCTCTGCCAGGGGAGGTGGTAGGGTCTGCCCTGTGCTTTTGCAAAGCTTGGGGGCTGGTGTGTGATGAGGTCAGTATCTGTGGATGAAAAGGAACTTGAGGGCTTTTTAATTTGTTAAAACCACATAAGCTGCGGGCCAGTGCTGTGGCACAGTGGGTTAAGCCACTGCCTGTGACACCAACATCCCACATGGGCGCCGATTTGAGTCCTGGCTGCTCCGCTTCCGATCCAGCTGCCTGCTGATGTACCTGGGAAGGCAGCAGAGGGTGGCCCAAGTGTTTAGGCCCCTGCCGCCCACGAGAGACTCAAATGAAGCTCCTTGCTCCTGGCTTCGGCCTGGCCCAGCCATGGCCGTTGTGGCCATTTGGTGAGTGAACCAGTGGATGGAAGATTCTCTCTCTCTCTCTCTCTCTCTCTCTCTCTCTCTCTCTGCCTCTCTGTAACTCTGTCCTTCAAGCAAATAAATAAATCTTTTAAAAAACAACACATAGGCCGGCGCCGCGGCTCACTAGGCTAATCCTCCGCCTTGCGGCACCAGCACACCGGGTTCTAGTCCAGAGCCAGAGAAAGCTCCTGGCTCCTGGCTTTGGTTCGGCACAGTTCCAGCCATTGCAGCCAATTGGGGAATGAACCATGGGATCACCAGGAGCTTCTTCCAGGTCTCCCACGCGGGTGCAGGGCCCAAGCACTTGGGCTGTCTTCTACTGCTGGATGGGAAGTGGAGCAGCCGGGACTAGAACCGGTGCCCATATAGGATGCTGGCGCTTCAGGCCAGGGCTTTTACCCGCTGACCACAGCACCGGCCCCAAGGGGAAAGATTTTAAGAATTTGTTAAGTGGGAGGTGTGCGTGGTGGAGAAGCAGTTAAGCCCCTCTTGGGACAGCTGCATCCCATGTTGGAGTACCTTGTTCGAGTCCAGGCTGCTCCACTTCCAATCCAGGTTCTTGCCAATATGCCTGGGAAGGTGGCAGATGGTGGCCAAGGTGCTCAGGTCCCCACCACCTACACGGGAGACCTGGATGGAGCTCCAGACTTCTGACTTCAACCTGGCCCAGCCCTGGCTCTTGCAGGCTCAGAACATGAACCTGCAAATGGAAGAGCTGTGTGTGTGTCCGCCTCTCTGTCTTTCTCTCTGTAACTCTGACTTTCAAAGTAAATTTATAAAAATTATTGATTGGGCACGTTTTGTTAAAGAAATGGTGATGAACAAATATATCAGTATGGGGTATTGTACTGATGTCTTTTGTGTGTGTTTAAAATTTTCCATAAAATGTTTCAAACTAATAATCTGCCTCTGCCTACTGCGGTGGGCAGTAGGTGGGCAATGGGGGAGCCAGGGAGGTCAGAGGGGAGAGGTCGGGGCCAGAGGAGACGCTGGGGGGCACCGAGCCTCCCAGGTGGAGGCGGAGGAGGCGTCTTGGGACCACAGGACTTGCTCACAGACGGAGCGTGACAAGTGGCTCGGGCTGCGATTGTTGAGTGGATCTGGGAGTGGGGGGTGGGAGTGGGGAGTGAGATCACCTGGGCGTGTGGCTGGTGGGGGGCCTATGCCCTCCAGGAACACAGCCAAGTCCAGACTTCAGCGGAGGGTCGGGCCGGGAGTCAGCTGCATTAACACCATGGGACTTAGGCCACCAGGGCGTGGGCGTAGATGGAGCTGGAACAAAGTGGGCGGGGGGGGGCGGAGCCTGCCGCTGGTCACTGGTCACTGGGCCCGGGCATTGCTACTGTCCGAGCAAAGGGCAAGCCCCTCCTACCCCAGCCCTCGGGGCGGGGCTTCCCAAAGTCAGTCCACCCGAGCCCCCTCCCTTCCCCCCAGAGCCCGAGCCTCCCCCCTCCCCTCCTGCCTGGCCTCCCGCAGCCACCTGCGACCCTCCCCGCTGCCGGCTTGCACATCTGGGGGATCCGAGGGAAATTTGGAAATGTGAATTCATGTCCTTAGAACCCCTGCCCACCCCCAAACTAGTTCCTGCTCCCCAACCCTTTCCCCCACTCCTTAGCAGCAGGCAGATGGGGGTGGGGTATCCCGGGAGGGGTCTCTTAAAGCAAAAGACAAGGAAAAGCCTTTTGGATTCCAAAGGCTTAGAACTTAGAGGTCCAGTCCAGCAGGGGAACTAGGCCTGGGTGGTGTGGAGCGAGGCCCCCAGCCCCAGGGCCAGCGCTAAGGAGAAGCATCCCAAAGTGCTGGCTCCGCAGTGTCCCCCATGTGGAGGCGCAACCCCCAGAACCCTGCTGGTGCCCAAAACTGACCACCACCGCGGGGAAGGGGGCTCTGAGGCTCATCCCAGGCAGGACCCACAGCCTGGGCCCTCCCCCACAAACCAGTGGGCGCAACACCGGCATCCCATATGGCCGATGCAGCCATCTGCGGAAGATCTCTCTCTCTCTCTCTCTCTCTCTCTCTCTCTCTCTCTCTCTCTCTCTCTCTCTCTCTGCCTCCTGGCCACACACAGGTGTTTGAATTATGAAAATAAAATGTAAAATGCAGCCACACGTGGCTACCCTATAAACTAACCCCGATTGCAAAACATTTCCAGGTCCTCGGGTGTCATCAAAAAGCTCAGACGGGAGGAGGGGCCCAGAGCCTTGAGCTCATTGGCTGGGGGCAGGGGAGGGGGCGGGATACCAGCGCTTCCCTTTGATTGGGTATTCTCTTCCAGCGGAAAGCCAATCCTCCAGCGTGCTGGGGGCGTGGCCACGCGTGCCCTACAGGACCCTCCCTGAGTGCTGGCGCCCACCCACCACGGCGGGTGGACGTGAGCGGTGAGTCTTGGCCTCCGACCCCTGCGTTCTGGGTGTCCTCGCACCCCCGGGGGCAGCGGGGCAGGCCCTGCCTCGCCTCCCCCAGGCCTGCAGTCCCAGGGTGCAGCTGTCCGGCTCCTCCCAGCCTGCGCGCTCAGGGTCCCCTCCCCCCTCCGCCCGTGGAATGGGATTGCCCTGAGGGTCTGACAGCCCCCTCTGACGCAGCGTGGGGGCCGGGAAGACATCCCCGCCAGGCGGATGGCCCAGGAGGAGGAGGGGCGCCTGCACGAGGTGCTGGCCCAGGTCGGGGCCTCCCACGACATCAAGGACCTGACCCGCAAGCTGCACTTCTATGACGGCTGGGCCCCAGACTACGACCAGGTAAACCGAGCCGCACCCAGCCGCAGTGGGTCTATCTGTGAAGTGGGGTTCAGCAGCCTGGCATCCGAGGGCGGCCGCCCTCAGGGACCAGGACCCCCTTACCCAGGCACCACAGCCCAGACGGGGCGGGGGGCGCTGCCACTGAGGCCAAAAGTGTAGGAAAGCACCCGACATACACGCACCCCCCAGAAGGTCCCCCAAAGGCGGGGGCACTGGTGGGATCGCCTCCCTGCTCTGGCCCCTCCAGGATGTGGCTGCCCTGCAGTACCGAGCCCCCCGCCTCGCCGTGGCCTGCCTCACCCAAGCCCACCCAGGCCTGCCGCACACTGCCCTGATCCTGGACGTGGCCTGCGGCACTGGCCTGGTGGCCGTGGAGGTGAGGCCACCCCAGACTTCCTGCCTGCTCAGCACCACCCCCCTGGCCGATGGCTCAAATCCCCTACCACCTGGGCAACCCCCATCCCATGTCCTCCACCCCCACCCCATCCTGCCTCCTCTCTCAGACTCACTGGTCCCAAACACATGGGCCAAATAAACCCTCTGCGGGGCCTAGCACCCTCCCACGGTGCAGGGACCCCGTAACTGAGCCCCCCACTCCCATCCCAGCTGCAGGCTCGGGGCTTCGTCCGGCTGCATGGGGTTGATGGGAGCCCAGGGATGCTGGAACAGGCCCGGGCCCGTGGCCTGTACCAGCAACTGAGCCTCTGCACCCTGGGCCAGGAGCCTCTGCCCAGCCCAGAAGGTACGCCCCCCCCACGGCCCCCAACATGGCAAGGCCCGCCTCCCCGCCCACCTTGGCAGCACCCATCCCTCCCGCTCATGAGCCCCCTCCCACACCCAGCCCACAGCCCCTCCTTGTGGCGCTCAGCCCAAGCCTGGGCCACACACACCCACCGCACCCCACGCTCTCCCCCAGGGACGTTCGACGCGGTGCTGCTGGTGGGTGCCCTCAGCGACGGCCAGGTGCCCTGCAGTGCCATCCCTGAGCTTGTGCGAGTCACGAAGCCAGGTGAGGAACAGCCCGGCCAGCCCCACGCCCAGCACAGACCCTCGAAGGCGGAGCAAGGGCAAGGCTGTGGCCAGGCCAACAGGCAGGGCGGGCAGGTGGCCAGCTCACCTCCTACCCACGGACAGCTGGGGGCGCAGCTCCCCTCCAGCCTCTGTCCCCGCACTTGGGAGCAGGTGCTGCCACCCCTTCCTCGTGAGATCCAAGTGCCCTCACTCCGGTCCCTCCTCTTCCAGCCCCCGCGCTAACTCACAGGCGACTCTTTCCCTTTCCTGGCCTCAGTTTTCTCATCAGGGAAATGGGGCTGCTCGGGCAGAGTGACAGGGTGCACACGTCTCTCAGGCAGCTGTATCTGCCGTGACCTTGCTCTGAACTTGCCTCTGCTCTGGGGCAGCAGCGTGAGGACCAGGAGGCCGTGCCCAGCACGGGGGGCAGTCGGTCAGCAAGTTGCCGAGGTGAAAAATTCTTCTTCCCCTCCCCCCTCTTGTCCCTGCTGCTGGGGCACTGGAGTGGCAGCGGCTAGGCCTGGGCAGGCCTGGGCAGGCGTAGTGGCCTCTCAAGAGGCCAGCAGATGCGGGGACATTGGTGGGGTCAGCGGGAGAGGCAGGAGCTGGGCACAAGTGGACAGGAAATTCTCTTGCATGCTCTAACAGGCACCAGGGCTCCCGGCCTGGGCTTGCCAGGTCCCTAAGCCGCTCCGAGCCCTGCCCCCCAGCTCACGTGCTGACAGCTCCCCCTCACTCACTGCTCACCTCCACCTGTACTCACTCTGCTCCTCTAAGCCCCTTCCTCCAGGAAGCCCTCCCAGATCCCAGCCACTGGACCTTCCCCTCTCTCTTTGTGTACAGTTACTGCCTGTGCTGGGTGTTTTGCACACGAACACACACACACACACACATGCACACACCCAGCCTTGCCTTGGGACAGGAGAGCGGTCCCCTCTCTGCCAGTGGGGAACCAGGTTCAGGGCCATGCAGGGGCTCGCCCGAGGCCAGTGTCCACGTGCGTGCAGACAGAGCCGTATCTTCCAGCAGAGGGGCAGGGTGTGAGCAGTGGGGAGGGGACCCTCTTGTTCCGGGGGACACAGTCAAGAACCCCAGCGTTAAAGGGCGCGTGGGCCTTGAAACATGCACGGGAGGATGTCCAGCTGGTGTCCCCAATGCCACAGAGGCGGGGAGAGGCTGGTCTGGGCTTGAAGACAGGAACAGGGACAGCTGTGCCCAGCGCAGACAGGCCTGGGACCACCACGGCTCACCGGCGCCTTCCCCGCCTCTCCCCAGGTGGGCTGCTGTGTCTGACCACCAGGACCAATCCGTCCAACCTGCCGTACAAGGAAGCCTTGGAAGGTGTCCTAGATGGGCTGGAGCGGGCCGGGGCGTGGAGGCGCCTGGTGGCACAGCCCGTGGACCGCTGGGAGCTGGCTACCTCGGAGCTGCAGGTGGCGCCCGGGGCCTCAGCCCAGGACGGCTTCATCTCCGGCATCGTGTACCTGTACCGAAAGCAGGAAGAGGCCCAGGCTGAGAGAGAGGGGCCCGGGCCCCAGCCCTGCGCTGACCTCTGACCCTTCGTGTGGACTTCTCTGGGTCCCCACTCCTGCACCCTGCCGCTCAGGGGTGCCCCCAGGAGGGGAGAGGGCTCTGCAGGAGAGAACATTCCATCTGGGGGTTCAGGAAGCCACAAGTGTTGGGGGGAGGGTGGCGTCCCACGTGGGAGGGCCGTTCTGAGTCCCGCTGTCATACTTCCAGCCGATGCAGCGCCTTCCTAAGGTACCTGGGGAGCCAGCGGGTGATAGCTGCAGTATTTTGAGCCACTGCCACCACCTGGGAGACCCGGATGGAGTTCCAGGCTCCTGCCTTCAGCCTGGCCCAGCCCTGGCCCTTGCAGTCTTCCCAGGGAGAGGGGAGACACAGCAAATGGAAGATCTCTCTCTCTCTGTCTCTCTCTCTCTCTCTCTTTCTCTCTCTCTCTCCCTGGACTTTCAAATAAATAAATCGATCTTAAAAAAAAAAAAAAAGCAGCAGATGGAAGTGCCAGAGGAGACCCACCCCACCCCACCCCCAGGGCTGTCCCTGACCCGGCCTTGACAGGACCACAGCCTTGACAGTGACTGCCTGAGTCCTCCCCAGGGGCTGGGCCCTCGCAGCTGTAACCCATGCACAAGGAACCCGGGGCCCGACTCAGTGCTAACAGCACCCAGCAGAGCAGAGCGGGTTGGGTCAGAGCCGGGGTTCCGCGCCGCGGGTCCAGGGCCGGGCCACATGCTCCCACAAGCCCAGGGCTGTACTTCCTCACCCGTGAAGGGGCCCCAGAGCCCCAGGCGTGGCCAGGAGGGTGCCCTGGCTGGAGCAGGTGGAAAGACCCTGGTGACCTGTGTGAGCTGGCCTGTGATGATGCTCTTTCTGAGGGAGGAGGCTCAGAGCTGGCCCTGCAGGACAAGCAGGATCCGGCAAGGTGGGGAGGGCAGAGACCAAGCCCCGGGGTTCGCCCTCCCTCCCGGGGTCCCCGCTGGGTCCCTGGCATGCGCTGTTTCCTGCCTCCAGGGTGACTCCCAAGATTACGGCCAGGTCCGCTTGTCCCGATTCCCCGAAGCCGTTTTCCTAAGCGCTGGGGTCCTGGCCCCAGCTGACCCCCTGCACAGGCCTCCAGCCCCGCCCCTCCCGCTCCCACCCCTGCAAGCCCCAATCAGAGACAAATACAGATCTTCCTGTACACAGGTCCCGTTTATTGTAGAAAATAATAATAATTACAGTGACGAATAGCACTTCTTAAATTACAAAACAGAGACATCGAGGGAGAGCCCCTGCCCCCAACATACACACGCCGGGCTGGCCAGTGTCCTTGACTGGGGAGGGTGGAGGGGTTCTCCAGCCTTCCTGCCCAAACCAGTTTGTCCCACCTCCACTCCTCCCCTCCAAACCAGTCTGTCCACTCTGTGCTCCTCGGCGCCATTCTCGGGCAGGGCAGGTATGGCTCAAGCGTGGATCCCCCAAGTTCATGCAGCTGGCAGGGCCAGGAGCCAGGGAGACGGTGGCAAGACAGGCGCTGGAGTCATGGAACGTGCAGGCAGAGGGTGTGGGCAGACGGAGCTGGGCAAAGGCTAGAGCGGCTACACTGGCATGAGTGGGCACCCACTCTGAAACACAGTTCAAGGTCAGGGCTGGGCTGGCCTGGCCAGCAGGACCAGCTCCCTGCTCTGTCGCCTGCCTCCGGGAGCCATTCAGAGGAGCGGGGCACGGTGTCTCTCTGCCATCCGTCCTTGGGAAGCTGTCCAAGTGGGGCGAGGCGGGGTTGAGGGCTGCTGGCCACGGGCCTCCTCCTGGGTCCCAGACCATGCCGAGCTCCGATGGACAATCCCAGCCAGGAGGGACACAGTCGAGCGCCGGCGCCTCACACGTAGTTGCTGGCCGGGGCGGAGCGGGCAGCCGAGTACTTGGCCGAGTAGGGTTTGTCGTTGCGCGGCGGGCAGTTACAGCACAGCAGAGCCCCGCCGAGCAGCAGCAGGCCGGAGGCCGCCCAGCCGATGTAGAGGGAGGCGCCCATCTCGCGCTTCTGCCCGTTCGCCACGAGCGGATTGTAGAAGTCCCGGATGACGTTGTGGGCCGTCCACGACACGGGCACCATCACCAGCAGGCCGGCCAGCAGGAACACCACGCCTGCCACGATCATGGTCTTGGCCTTGGCCGTCTCATCCTCCACGCAGTTGGTGCACTTGCCCCCGACCACGGACAGCAGCACGCCCAGGGCGGCCACGATAATGCAGATGATGGTGAGCGCGCGGGCCGCCTGCAGGTCCTGCGGCAGCGCCAGCAGCGAGTCGTACACCTTGCACTGCATCTGCCCCGTGCTCTGCACCACACAGTTCATCCACAGCCCTTCCCAGATGACCTGCGAGGTGACGATGTTGCTGCCGATGAAGGCCGTCACCCGCCACATGGGCATGGCGCAGCACAGCATGGAGCCCAGCCAGCCCAGCACGGCCAGGGCGATCCCCATCACCTGCAGTCCCATAGAAGCCATGGCTCCGCGTGCGTCTCCGCTGGGCTCTGGCGATCGATCGGGGCGGCTTGAGAGGGATCTCAAGGCCTGAGGTCACACCGGCCCTGGGCAGGGAAGAGACAAAGCCAGCGCCAGCAAGGAGGGTGAGCAGACCAGTTCTTTCAGCCAACAGCCGCCCCGCCGGCTACAGGTGGAGCAGTTATATGGCTCTGGCGGAGAGAGGCGGGGGCAGAGGGAGGGGCTTCGGGCCCTGACCAGTTTCTCTGGATTCCTGAACCCTGGCCAACCAAGACACTGAAAGGCCCCTGAGTCACCCCTGAGTCTCAGAGGAAACTGCCCTCTCTCCCCCAGCCCCTCCCCCCACACTCCCTCCACCCCACCCCGGCCCATGCTGAAGTCAGGCCAGAGACAGACACTGAGTCACAGCCCAGGGCCATCTGGTGTCCACGGGGTGGGGCGAGCAAGGTGGTGGACCTGGAGCCTGGGGTCCCAGCATCCCCCAGGCTCCTCATCCGGGCACTGTCGCCACTGTCAATCAGCCCCGCACTGCCAGGCAGGTCAGGTATGGGAGACGGAGGACACGGGAGGCCCTACCCCTACCCCCATGCACCTTTGGCCAAAGAGAGACCCAAGCTGGTCCCCCTGCCACCACCATGGCCCCCGTGGGCCAGGGCTGAGCCTACGTGGGCAGCGCAGGCTGGGGGCAGCAACCTGGGAGGCATCAGCCCCACGGTGGCTGTTTACTCTGTGTGGACACAGAGAGAGGTTCAAAGTCCCAGGAGGCTTCAAAGGCAAGGGAGAGCCAAGCCAGGCGTGGGGGGTGGGGGTGGGGGCTGCAGATAACACAGCAGCTGCCAGGGTTGTGCGGGGGCGGGGGGAGGTTGAGGGGGTGGGCGAGGCAGCAAGACTTGGTGGCGGGAACGGGCACTGGGGTGGGGAGACGTAGCTCTTTCTTTCTTTCTTTTTTTAAGATTTATTTATCTGCTTGAAAGACAGAGTTACAGAGAGGCAGAGGCAGAGAGAGAGAGGTCTTCCATCCGCTGGTTCACTCTCCAATTGGCCACAACGGCCAGAGCTGTGCTGATCTGAAACCAGCAGCCAGGAGCTTCTTCCAAGTCTCCCACGTGGGTGCAGGGGCCCAAGCACTTGGGCCATCTTCTACTGCTTTCCTAGGCCACAGCAGAGAGCTGGACAGGAAGTGGAGCAGCCGGAACTCGAACTGGCACCCATATGGGAGGCCGGCACTGCAGGCAGCGGCGTTTCCCGCTATGCCACAGCGCCGGCCTCGAGACACAGCTCTTTCTGGGAGCGGGGTCCTTGTGAGGGTTGTGCAAGGCAGCGGGACTAGGTGAAGGGGGCATTGGGGTGGAGGGAACAGCAAGGAATGCAGTTTGACTGGACACTGGGCTGCCTGGCCGCAGGGAGGGGCCGGAGCCAAGAGCCAGCCCCGGGCGGTACGCAGGGGCAGGTGGGCAGGGGCACCGGTGGTGAGCAGGTGTCCCCGTAGCTTCCGGGGGCACTGCTAGAAACAGGAAGGGATGGGGGGTCCGGACTCAGGGAGGGCCTGAGTCAGGGTAGGGGCTGGGGGGACCTAGAGGAGAGGGCCATGCTGGGGGGAGCAGGCCCAAGTCCCCGCCACTACCCAGCCACACATCTGGGGCCTGGATACAGCGGCCTGTCCACGTCTGACCCAGAGAAGCCAATACCTTCCATTTCCGGAACACATCCCCCACTGGCCCAAAGCTGTCTGGGAGCGGCCCTTACAATGCAATCGCCCCATGTTGCTGAGGGAAAAGTCGAGGCCTCCCTTGGCGGTTAAACATAAAGACCTCCGTCTCCCTGCCCCCTGGAGCTGGGGGCTCCCGGAAGCGGGCGCGGCGGCCTCTTCTAGCTCAGCATCTAGGACAGGGCTTGGCACACAGTAGGTGCTCGACACAAGCCCGATGCTGACACAGAGGAAACTGGTTTCCCGCCTTCCCGCCGCCCGCCTCCACCAAGACAAACAGGGACAGTTTCAGCCGGGACCACGCCCCCCCTCCCCCAGGGCCTTTTCCTTACAAGGCTCTGCGGAAACACAAACAGGGCTGTGGGCTGAGCAGCAGCAAAGATAAACATCCTTCCAGGTGACAGTAAGTGCTTTCCTGCAATGACCTCAGCCCAGCCTCCCTGCAGGGGAAACTGAGGCCCAGGGCCTTGTCCAGGACACGTGGGAGCCTCCTGGTCACCCTCAGTAGCCGGGCAGCAGGCTGTCTATGATCCGGGCGGGAGTTGGCCAGATGGCCAGACGCCCCTGTTGTCCCTACTTCCTGGTTCCCTGGGGACACAGACATGCAGGAGCTGCCAGGGGAGGGAGTGGAGGAAAGCCCTAAAACTCTCCCCCACGCGCACCCCTGCTGGGACCCAGAGAGTGGATGGAGACTGGGGGCTGGGGAAACAGGTGCTGGAGAGGACCCCTGGTATGAAGAAGGGATGGGAGGGGCATGCTGGGGGAGCAGGGGCTCCATGGTCACCAAGCGCAGGTGGCTCTGACCTGCCCGCACACCTGCAAAGCCAGGACAGGTCTCTGCACTGCCCTCCGGCTACAGGAGCCCTGGGGTGGGGGCAGGGCAGGAGCCCCCAGGCAGGCCCTGCACCTGCCAGCTCCCAAGAGCTCAGACAACCTCTTGCCTGCCACCCACCACCAACATCTGTGCGGGGCCCAGGGAGCGCAGGGCCGCTGTGTCTTTGCTTTCTTTTTCATGTTCAAGCGGACGCTCATTTCAAGCCAGGAGAACTGGATCAAGGCGGATGGGGGTGGGTGGGTAGGGAGGCGGTAGCTGGGTTTCACCCCGGCTACCTCCTCCCGCACGGGGTCAGCTGGTCCAAAAACCAGCCACAACCACCTTCCCAGAGCCAGCAGCTTCCTCCCTAGTGAAGTGGGCATCCTTCTGTCCCCCTGTCTAAAACAGATGCGAAGGAGATGGTGGCGGGGGAGGGGACATGAAAATGTCCCGTCCTCTCCTCCCCCCCCCCCCCAGTGAGTGGCTGCTTGCTGCTCCCCTCCCCCAACTCCGCTCTGGTCAGGCTCATGCCAGGCAGGAACGAGAACTTCCCAGTCCTGGTCCCAGACACACATACACACACATACACACCTTGCCCTGAACCCAGCTCCTTAGAAATCACTAGCAAAGGGTCCCTTCCGGCTCTGAGCCACACTGCTGCCTGCCCACCCAGGGCCAGTGCAAGGATTTCGGCTCCCAGGGTCTCGGCCGCCTGCCGTCAGGGAGCGTGAAGAGCAAGGGCAGGTAAGGTGGTGTTGAAATGAAACCTCTCCTCCTGGGCCAGGCATCTGGGGAGACACAGCTCTTTCTGGGAGCGGGGTCCCTGTGATGGCTGTGCAAGGCAGCGGGACTCGGTGGAGGGGGCACGGGGGTGGAGGGAACAGCGAGGGATGCCCAGCTTAGGTTAAGATCGCACCTGGGATCAGACGCCCACATCTCGTATCAAAGAGCTTGGAGTCCCGACTCTGCTCCTGGTTCCAGCTTCCTGCTGCTGTTCCCCTGGGGGCGGGAGGGGGGGGCACAGCATGTGTCGGCTTAAGTACTTGGGCCCCCACCACCCACTTGGGAGACCCGGATTGGGTTCCTGGCTCCTGGCTTCAGCCTGGCCCAGCCCTGGGTGTTGTAGGTGTTTAAGGAGAGTGAACCAGCAGATGGAAGATCTCTCTCTCCCTCTGCCTTTCAAATAAATCAATAAAAGTTTTGGAAAATTTTCTCTTCCCCACCATTATGATTTTTATAAAATCAAGCAGGTTTTCTGAACAACACAGAAGAAAGCAACGGGGCCGGCGCTGTGGCGTAGTGGGCTAAGTCTCTGCCTGCGGCACTGGCATCCCATACGGGCGCCGGTTCAAGTCCCGGCTGCTCCACTTCTGATCCAGCTCTCAGCTATGGCCTGGGAAAGCAGTGGAAGATGGCCCAAGTGCTTGGGCCCCTGCACCCACATGGGAGACCCAGAAGAAGCTCCTGGCTTCGAATTGGCACAGCTCCTGCCATTGTGGCCATTTGGGGAGTGAACCAGCACATGGAAGATCTCTCTCTCTCTCTCTCTCTCTCTCTCCGTAGCTCTGCCTTTCAAATACATAAATAAAATCTTAAAAAAAAAAAAAAGGGAAGCAGCTCCAAAAACCTCCTCACTTGGAAGTTGGAGCAAAAGTATTTATTTTTGCAGAAATTCGTGGAGTGTGCAAACCCTGGTTCCTGCCTGCCCAGGACAGAAGCCCTGCTTCCTTTTGAACCAGAAACGTCACGAAATTTTCAAACATCCCGGCTGGCGCCGCGGCTCACTAGGCTAATCCTCCGCCTAGCGGCGCCGGCACACCGGGTTCTAGTCCCGGTCGGGGTGCCGGATTCTGTCCCGGTCGGGGCGCCGGATTCTGTCCCGGTTGCCCCTCTTCCAGGCCACCTCTCTGCTGTGGCCAGGGAGTGCAGTGGAGGATGGCCCAGGTGCTTGGGCCTGCACCCCATGGGAGACCAGGAAAAGCACCTGGCTCCTGGCTCCTACCATCGGATCAGCGCGGTGCGCCGGCCGCAGCACGCCAGCCGCGGCGGCCACTGGAGGGTGAACCAACGGCAAAGGAAGACCTTTCTCTCTGTCTCTCTCTCTCACTGTCCACTCTGCCTGTCAAAAAAAAAAATTTTTTTTTCAAACATCCCAAAACCTGAGACGCACTGCTGAGCCCTCTGCTTGGATTGTCCTAGAAGAAGGGTCTCCCTAGGGTTACAGCCAAAATGGCGTGTCGCCACCCACTGGAAATTCGGACACAGCACCCAGGGCACCGGTGGAGACTTCCCAAGGCTGAGCCGAGGGCTGGGGACTTTCAGAGTCCTGGGTACCACACGGCGGCCCCCCAATGGCTCAGGTTCAGATGCTGGAGGAAGCCCTCGTCTGGGGTAGCCGGGTGACGGCGCCCTAGTCTTAGATGCCAACTCCAGGGGCTGGACCCATGCAGACACTGAGCGCTCACTGGCCGCCCCGTAGGTCCCACCCGGCTCCCAGAAAACCCCAGCCCCTGAGCCCAGAAATGGAGGCCCAGCCCTGGCCCCCAGCCTGCGGGTCATCCACCCTGGGCCTGGAGCTTGGTTAATGACAGGGCCAGGCTGCCCGACCTGGCCAGACTGGCTGAGCCGGTGCAGCCCAAGGCTGGGCCCGCATG